CTCAAACACATGAGTAGGTATATAAATGTGCTACGAGGCTCTCACCCATGTGAGAAAGCATGCAGGGTGTACAAGCAAGTTTTCCTACATGCTAGGCAGCGCGCATGTGCGGAATAGCCCACCGCACACGCGTAGGGAAGGCGAGTGCATGAAGCAAACTGAGCGCACAAGTAACACGTGCAAAAGGAGCGTGCACGCATAAAGGAGATCATATGCGCCGTAGACATCACATTGCGCATGCAAATTTGGCATGCACAAGCATGCCAAGCACGAGAAAAAGTCATGCATGTACACATTTTGTGTGTATCTCGCACACCTGCAACCTAGCACACATGTAGGCATGCCTCATGCACATGGGGTATGTTTGGCGTGAGTTTGAAGCAGTTTGGTGTGAGTTTAATGTAAATCTATTCCTTATGATTATTTAATTACTATTTTTAGGATAAAGATTGGGATAGAGTTATATTTTATTATTTTTTAAGTATTTGTATTCTAGTAAAACTATTTAGGTAAAAGCTTACAAAAAGACCTCACTGAAGGAGCTTTAAACTGTTTTGTTGAGCAAGAAATCAAGATCAACTTATTGGGTAAACTGTGACGTCTTTTCTTTTTTTTTTTTTTTTTCTCAGTTACCTAGATAAGCTTTCAATACGTTGATTATGATTCTAGTAGGGATAGTTTAATTTAGGTAGTTAAGTTTTGAATTGTTGAATATAGTGGCTTCATGATCGAGGTATTTTCGATCTGTGGAGTAATCATTCTCCACCCCGCGTCATCATCTCTGATGCATCTCTCTAGATTTTTCGATCTAGTAATCAAACCTTGTATTGAGACTGTAGATATGCATTGAAAAATTAAGTTTGTTACCTCATTGAAGAACCTTAAGATTCTTCATGATTTGGACTAAAAAAGTCAATTCAACTATGTCAAAGGCTTTTTTCGTATCACATTTTGTTGTTACCTAGAGTTTGTTTCCTTTCTTTGTCTTTATAGAATGAAGGATCTCATGGGTAATGATGGAGTTCTCCTAAATATTTCTGTCTTTGATAAATGCAGCTTGCATTAGGGATATAATCTTTCACATTAGGGGTCTAACTTTCACAACCATGATTTTTTATATTAGTTTATAGATGACGTTACATAAAGATATAGGTTTATAATTTGTAACTTTCCTACTCAACTTTAGGGATTAAGACCTTTAGCCTGAAGTTTAGGACAACCCAAGAGGGAGGCTGAATTGGGTTATTAAAATTTTTAAGCTTTTAAGCACACTTCCCAACTCTTTGGATATTGTCAATTCTCATACTAGGATAAACAAGCTAATTATATTTTCATCTTTGCTATTTAATTTGTATGAAAATATTTGACTATTAATTAAGTTTATTTCTATTGATTTATTTCCTAAGGAAAGTAATAATAATAAGTACGTGTGAGAATCATCGAAAGTGTTTGTGGTTCTTTATACATTTTTCAATGTGATGTGAGCAAAATGTGATATCAAGTAATCATAAATAATTATTTAAAGTAAAGAGGAAAAGAAAGAGAGTGCAAACTTTTTTATAAAGGTTTAACCATGCTACTTATGCCTTGGCCCTCTTTCTCAAGCCAGCCGCTTGAGATTAAACTACTTTCTCTAAAGTATTAAAATAAACTAGTTAATCACAACACCTATCTCACCAATTACTCTATTCTACCAAAGATTACATCTTGATAATTAAGGTGTCATGTTCACCTATCACTTGTGTTCACCCAAACACTATAACCTATTTATCAATATTTCAAGCTCACCTATCACTTGTGAACGGTGATAGACTATAATTTTTCTATTAAGTTGTTAAGCTTACTTTTCTCTTATGTCTCTCTGACACAAAGCTTTCTAAATGGTTCTATAAACTTTTCTTACATGCTTAAAATAATAGAGATAAATAAATTATAGTTTTCTCTCTTAAAGAGTAGATATACAAATTAAAAGGTCACTTAGGGGCTCAGTGAAGGCTCAAGAGAATTAAGAATATTTATGTTTTGAATTTCATGTTTTTTCTTAAAGAATATTGAGAATTGAGAATAAATATAATCTCTTTAAGAATATTGAGAATTTAACTTTAAAACCAATAATTTTTTAGAGGAAATTTTAAGGAATTTTTAAAGAAAATCTTCTTGAGCCTTTTAAGTCGTGATTTACCTAAATACAAAAGAGAAAAATAATTCTAAAATAGTTTTACTCTTTTGTTTTCAATTGTTTCTCTACTTGTTGATGCCCTTTTTTCAATTTGTTTCTCTTACTTGAGTCAAACTTTTCATCTAAACTCTATAACTCAACTGACAATTGCTAAACTACTCCATGAATGATTTCTAATTAGAATAATTTTAAGGTGAATGTGTTATAATATTTAATAAAATTTACTATAAATAATATTATTAATATAAAATTTTATATTATATGTAATGATCGAAAGAAATAAAAAAAATAAAAAAAACCCTAAGAGGAAGAAGAGAGGCGGTAGAGAAAAAGAATAAGAAGAAGGAGAAGAAAAAAAAGGAGAAGAAGAAGAAGAAGAAGAAGAAGGAGGAGGAGGAGGAGGATGATGAAGAAGAAGAAGAAGAAGAAGAAGAAGGAGGATGAAGAAGAGGATGAGGAGGAGAAGGAAGAGAGGAAAGATAAAAAGAGAGGCACGACGAGCGACTGATATACGCGAGGCGGAGAAGCGATGGCTGGAGAAGGAAACTCACGCATGATTGTCGAACGATGACAGGAAGACAAATTTGCATGCGGGGAGATATATCCATTTATGGTGTGTGGCGTAACGGATCTGCACACGATCCTTCCAAATTTGTGCATGATGCGACTTCGACTTTTCTCTCTTGTACATTTCAACAAATGCAAAAGATTTCCATGGTGTTTTTTATCAAAGCGTGGTGGCACATGTTGGTTCCGGTGAAGGCGTGTAACAGTGCATGTTGATCTGAGCGGTGGCGCTTGCAATGGCCTGGTGACCTCGGTGACCGGTAACATCAGTTCTTGCTTTTGTATTATCTTCGTTTCTAAAATTACTCGTTGTTTAATACACTTGTTATTTGTTTGTAAATGAGTAAAGTAATTGAATAATAGTTGCATTTAGAGAAGATCATAGACTGAACTTAGTGAGGATCCCGACATCCTTTATGATCAAACTTTGAGTAAGGATATGCTATCTTTTTCCGTAGTTGCTTAACCAAAGTCGTGACCCTAAAAAACTAATATGTGAATTGTTTTGACAATATATATATAATTTTGTACAGGTACCAACGGATCTATAAAAGTGCTCTTTTGTTCTTTTAATTTAGTTTTGTTTTCATTTTTATCTTATTTTATTTCTGTAAATTCATCATGAATTGCACTTTTATTTTATTGTTGTTTTATTTTTATTTTTATTTTTATTTTGAATGGATATTCGTTATGTACAATTTGTTATGAATATGCGTATGTTGTGAGAGTGTCGATGTGGGCGTGCAAGTAATGTTAGGGAAAATATATATAATATGGGCCTACATGCGTGTGTGTTGCAACTATGTGCTTATGAGGTGAATTGGGTAGTGCGTGATTGGTGGGCATATGACAGCGCATGTGTGTGTAATAGTGTACGA